TTTTTTTTTTTTTTTAGATGGAGTCTCGCTCTGTCACCCATGCAAGAGTGCAGTGGCATGATCTTGGCTCACTGCAATCTCTGCCTCCTGGGTTCAAGCCATTCTCCTGCCTCAGCCTCCTGAGTAGCTGGTATTACAGGCACCTGCCACCATGCCTGGCTAGTTTTTGTATTTTTAATAGAGACGGGGTTTCACCATATTGGTCAGGCTGGTCTTGAACTCCTGACCTCAGGTGATCCGCCCACCTCTGCTTCCCAAAGTGCTGGGATTACAGCTGTGACCCACTGCGCCCTGCCTCATTTTTCTTTTATGCAAACTATATGGACTACTTGTTTTTACTGTCTCTAGTCAGCTCATTTTATTTATGGATTAATTTCCATTTGAGGTTGGGGCCATGGTTTACTCTTCCATCTGACCTATTAGTTATCAGTATCCTCAGTTAATAGTCTCATTCTACCCACATTTTCAATAAAAAGTTTCATAGCTGGAAAGATTTGATACACACTTTTTTTTTTTTTTTCTGTTTTTTTTTTTTTTTTTTTGGAGACGGTATCAGTCTGTCACCTAGGCTGCAGTGCAGTGGCGTGATCACAGCTCACTACAGCCTCCACCTCCTGGGCTCAAGTGGTCCTCGTATCTCAGCCTTCAGAGTAGATGGGACTACAGGCACACACCACCATGTCCGGCTAATATTTGTATTTTTTTGTGGAGATAGGTTTTTGCCGGTTTGTGCAGGCTGGTCTCAAACTCGTGGCCTCAAGCATTCCACCCACCTCAGCCTCCCAAAGTGCTGAGATTACAGGCATGAGCCACCACATCTGGCCGTTACATCCCTATATTAAACATTAGTATGTTCATGTTAGAATAGTGTACCTTTTGAATTTCATAAACTAGGGGAACATTTATTCTGATGATGAATGAAAGAACTTTCTTGGATGGATGAAGAGAACAACGCTGTGAAACAACCAGTAGGTGGCGAAAACTGGCAATAAAAAGCTTTTTGTTTGGTGGCCTGGGGAATGAAGACGGAAAAAAAACACAGGCGGTTCAGACTCTTGATACAATCTCCATTCCCTGCATCTTGTTTTTTTCTCTTCCTGGTGCCACGCTACTTGTAGAATCCAACCAGGCAAAGCTGCCAAAAGGGTCATCCACTGGCTCTTACAAGTGGAAAACATCTTGGAAAGTGAAAAGTCCACTGTGCATATGTTTGTAAGGTTGTTGGAAGGTCTCAGGCACAGATCTGGGATTCAAATCCAGTTACTCCTGCTTCAGGCTGGTGTTCACTCCCCCACCTCAGCATTGTCCAAAGACGAATAGTCAATGTCACATACTTCCTGGGAATACTTGCCTTTATGCTTTAAAATGGAATCTAATAAACATGGAATCTGAACATAGGAATGGTTTCAGTCTTTCAATTGAAAGAGTATCTAGAACATTCCCAGGGAATATATAACCGCTAGTCAAAGACTGCAATACAGATCTGTCTCAAGACTGATCATAGCCAAGATGCTACATAAGGAATTAGTCTGGGAAAATCCATAGAGTGAGGCTCTATGGGAGCAAAGGAAGACAAAATCAGTAAGCTTTTCTTTCTCTGGGAATAGGGGATCCGTTTCCTTCTGGCTGCCCACTTGTAGAAGTACAGTTTCTTTTGCAGGTCTGTCCTATCATTTCCTCACTCATATGCTGAGTATGAGGAGCCTGAAGCCTTTCAATTCCTCTTAGGTAATTTTGGGGCTTTAAAATACACTTTCAAGATTTCTAAACCATAATGTTGTGGAACTGGCATGAATTTATGTGAGAACATATACTCTAGGTCAATCTATACCCGGTGCCTATCCAGACCAGAACACCTCCCACGTGCCAAAAAGGGACGCTGTCCCAACCATCAGAAGGACAGGAAGGAGGATCTCTTTTCATCCCCTCTTGCCTGGATACGAAATTTGTACCCAGGCACCCATTCCTATGTGAGAGCAGTTGGGCTGATGGGATACAATAAATGAAGAAATAAAATAAAAATACCCAAGAGAGATGGCAGTGCATATAGCATATAGTCCCAGCTATTCATGAGGCTGAGGTGGGAGAATCATTTGAGCCCAGGAGTTCAAGTCCAGCCTGGGCAATATAGCAAGAACCATCTCTTAGAGAAAAAAAAAAAAAAAAAAAAACCACACACACAAAAAAACTAAAGAATTTGGTGTGCTTTTTTGGCTTTTTAAAGAAAGTTTTGATTTTACAGTAGGAATGAGACAAAGAAGATGTCAGGCCAGTGGCTCATGTCTATAATCCCAGCACTTTGGGACGCCGAGGCAGGCAGATCACAAGGTCAGGAGTTCGAGACCAGCCTGGCCAGTATGGTGAAACCCCGTCTCTACTAAAAATACAAAAATTAGAAGAGCGTGGTGATGTGCATGTGTAATCCCAGCTACTCAGGAGGCTGAGGCAGAATTGCTTGAGCCCGGGAGGCAGAGGTTGCAGTGAGCTGAGATCGCACCACTGCACTCCAGCCTCGGTGATGGGACAGAGCAAGACTCTGTCTCAAAAAAAAAAAAAAAAAAAAAAAGATGTCAGAGCATATTTGTACACATTATACTACTCATTTGTCATCTTTCTTGACCACAATAATTCCGTGTCCCTATATATTTGCACTCAAACCCTATTAAGTAAGCCACTGTGCTTCTAGAAAACCTTTTTCTTTCTTTTCTTGGTGCTTTATTTGTCAAAGACTCTTGGAGATAAAAATACACACGTGCAACTTGTTTGTCCTCTTGTCCTTTTTTGCTAGGGGCTATTCATGCTGATGAATTTAAAACTGTCTGCTTGCAAGTACACACGTCTGCGAGTGTGGATGTGTAAGTGTGTATCTACGTACCTCATTTGAGAAAGTGCGGCCACCTAGGATTGGCTACCAGGCAAAGGTGGAGACCTTTAGGAGCCCACCCACCCCAGCGTTAGGACGGTGGGCCTGAAAGTTACTATGTAGAACTCCTCATCGTGTAGCACTAAAGCAGTGCAAAACTTGTTAGGGACAGAGGAAAATCATTGACTTAAACTATCGTAAAGCCCTTGATAAACCCCTTCCCTGGCGCGCTGAGTTCTGCATGGCTTGGGCCACGGACTAAGTGTTCAGGTGGGCACGGGCGGGGATGCGCGCGCGTGTGTAGTGCGCGGACACCTAGGAAGCCACTTGAAAGTAAACACCACGCTCGGGGCTTCCCTAGACATTGCTTAAAATGTGCAGAGTCGCCTCTCTTCACGGCAGGGCAGCGCTGAGGTCCCACTGCTCGGGGCGCGGCATTGGCCTGGGTCTTCCCCAGGCGGCCGAGCGCTGGTAACACGGCGTGTGTGTGTGTGTGTGTGTGTGTGTGTGTGTAGGCGCGTGTACACACTCTATACACGGCTAGAAAGGGTCCAGGCGACACACACACTCCCACATACACGGCTAGAAAAGGTCCAGGCGACACACACACACACACACACACACACAGACACACACTCCACACACACGGCTAGGAAGGGTCCAGGCGGTTCCCGGCGCTTTTCCAGCCCTTGTTTTCATGGCGCACCCTCCCGCCAGCAGCCCCCCT